AAATCGCCCTTGGCTCACTCAATCACAGCAATCGGTTCCCTTTATCACTCCGCTCCTTAAATTAAATATCACAAAAATATACAACACCAAATTGGCGCAAAAATGCGAAACATACAATGAATATTTATATAAGAATGACAGATTCAAAATACAAATGTAATTTCATGTTGATTTTTAGTTGTAACAGAAGGTATGACAAGATCTATCAGTTGCGAATAAATAGCTTATCCACTGAAATGAAATGAAATGAAATGAAAAGTCATTTATTCAGTCTAGGCTGTTACAAGCACTTTTGAAGGTCAAGAAGCTACGCCATCGGTTCGCAAAACTACGGCGGGACACCTTGTACTGAGAAGAACCGGCAAGAAACTCGGCAAGGGCTGTTATTTTCTCCCTGTATTGTTATATAATTATAGAGTCGTCAAGTTGAAAAATGACTTCAGAGATACGTCTGAAGTCACCTTCCATTACATCATTTAGAATATAAATATATAGTTACAATAAATTTTATAGTTAACATTATATTTAGTATATAGGAAGCGGCATTAGATAGGTACAATATTACTGTTATGAAAAATTACTAATACATGGGTATTATTATAAATAACAAATTATAAGAAACACTATGTCCATGCATTACGATCATTCAGATAATCATCAACTTTATAATAGCCCTTATTCATAAGAGTATTTTTGATCTGAGATTTAAATTTAGTCAGTGGAAGCTCAATCAGATCTAGGGGAACTTTATTAAACAATGCAATACTACAACCCAGAAATGAACCTCTTGATTTTTGGAATCTGAAACATGGAACACTGAAGTAAGATAATGAAAAAAAAATGGGTGCGTGTACTTATGTAGGTGCGTGAGAAGTTATCCTTCTTTGGCATCGTTTAAAATTAGTTTTTAATTGCATGCAAATAATTGATTACAATAAATTAATAAAAAGTCTGGAAAAGGACACAGTCAATAAAGTTCAGTTTTAATTTGAAAAAATAAATAAATAATCAAAATATTCAAACAAACAAACAAACAAGAAACATGTGGATAAATATTATAAATATGAATACATATAACTGTTACTTTATTACAAAAAAATAAAGATGTGGTTTTTGGTTCTACTACACCAATGGTCAAGAGATGGCGCTGTAGTCTCCTGAATCGCGCTTTGGTTCCGTTGTTCCAGATTAATAAATACTTTTGATAGGCCTTCACAATGCAGTCGTTAGCACCTACTAAATAGAGATTCTATTTCTATTTTGTTGGTAGATTTTCTTAATGTGCGGTTAACACAAAAGTAACGCATGAAGTTGGTCGCTAAAGCGACCAACTTCATGCGTTACTTGCTGTTAAAATTTTGTGTTACAGTGATGCGCGCGCATCTTAAAATTTCACTCTCATCATTTTTTCATAACGCGCCTAAAGAAGTATAACTTCAAAAAGTGTGCAAATTACAATCAACTTTTTTGAAAGCACATGTTTGATAAAAGTACCTAAGTACAATGCATTAGCAATGAGCCCGCCCGTTCCACCACTAATTAGGTCGCGCTATCGGACACGATACAAAATCAAAATCGGGCAGTCCATCAAATCAAACCACTAATCACTAATCAATGTCCGTGGCGATTCGAATTTGGTTCTTGATTGAAATTGCGAGCGATCAGGGGACCTAAAAAGGTCAAATAGGCTAGTTGACACTTTTTGGAAATATGTTTTAAATGCTTAATTATTGTTCAATTAGAACAAAAAAAATGTATTGTATTTTTTTTTACCTAGAAAGTTACATAACTTTAATTTTAAAATAGATTTTTCATGGACATACAAAAACGCTGTCGACCATTTAAGTCTGTAGATTATCTATGGTATGACGGGAACAATAGTAAACAAACACTCGCAAGCACGTAGGATATAACCTATCTGAATTTACATTACAAAACCATGATTTCTAATAGATTTCATGATAAATATAGTAATTATCATGATTGTATTATACGAGAATAAAGAAACACATCGTTAAAAACTCAAGAAATGTTGCAGTTTAAATTTTTAAAATTATGAATGTAGTACCTGCTAAGTCAAAGAGTTTTGTCGTTTCTGCTTTCACAAATCCGGCATGGCGTCATGGCGTCAATCAGGCGTCCAGGTTCTCTTGACTAAATTAATAGTCAAGAGAACCAATAAACGGAAACTTTTCTTCAAGATATAAGAGTTTTTAGATATATTTTAATCGGACGAAAGAAACCACAGTAACACGACAATGACGTTTAGTTGTTTTGCTATTATGTTGACGTCACAATCATGGTGGACAGCGTTTTTAGTGTTTAAAAAGATGCAAAATGCAGATCTAATTTTATGAAGTGAAATCGATGTATTTAGGTTCCTCATACCAAAAATTATAAGAAATAAACATATGTATAGTGCAATATTGCTAAAAGTAAATTCATTTACAGAATTCCTTGCAGATCTTAAGCGATTCCTCTAATTTTCGTAAAATTGTCACTTAATTTGTAGTGTACTCTTGAGTAACTTTTTATGAATCTGCTAATTGACACTTCAGCAATTCCTATTTTGTGGACCATTTTACGAATCCTCATAGAAAATTGTCAAATGAATGAATTTCTGCATATTATGAATTGTATCCGAATCTTAATATGAATTGACGGCTAAGTGGCAATTTTGTGATTTTCAATATGAATTACTTTAAGCAAAAAGGTTAGTCGACGTCACAGGAGACCGAAGAGCTGGCAGCTACCTCGGACAAAGAATTAGTCTAGCCATTCAAAGGGGTAACGCTGCCAGTATCTTCGGATCCTTGCCTAAAAGGACTCCTTTTAATAATATATTTTAGTTATTAATTTTATTTTTTAAGGTTTTTAGTTTCAGTTTTATTGTTCTAGAATTTATATTTTACTTATATATAGTGTAATGCAATTAGATAGAGACTTATTTGTTTATAGTTAGTGTATTTTATAGTTTTATGATGTGAAATTCTGAATAATCAAAGTAAGCGTAAGAAATATGTATATTTCACTTTCATTCTTTATTTAATTATCTAACTATGATATGTATTCCTTTAAGAATCTAATGAGAATTGCTGAATGCGGCCTTTTTAGGTCCCCAGCTCTAAGGCTGAGCGCAGATTAGTCACGACAGTTGTTAGACAATCTTGTCTTACATAGACGAGACAGCTTTACAATTAAAAAGAAACAGTTGTGTCTACCACAAGGCGCACACCAAGACGAAACTGTTTTGTCTACGATGCGACACACACCATTTTCATCAGTATCAGAATAGATTTCACCGATTATTTATTTTATAGAAATTAAGGCACCAGCCCAGAAAGTTTTACCAGTAATTTCGAATGAATGTATCAATCTATCTTTGATAATTTGTCAAAATTTATGGACCCACATATTACTTATTTTATCGTATGTATTATACTTTCTTTCAGTATCGATTATCATCCCTAATCGCTAGACAATTTTGTCGTTGGTGTGCGCCCTCGCATACATTACAAAGGGAAGCGGACAGTCGTTAGTCAGACTTGTCGCTTTGCAGTTCTTGTGTAAATAAGACTTTTTTGTCTATGAGACGTCTCGTTTCGAATGTGCGCATCTTCATAATTTTTGTTAAGCAATAGTCTGTCTTGAGACTGTCGTGACTCTAATCTGCGCTCAGCCTAATCGGCACCTACCTGTGGCGGCTGCGAGCATGTGGCGAAGCACTCGGCTCTCGGCTAGCACCGGCAGTACCGCGCAGGCTTCCAAGCGGATCGGGTGCGTCGCCATGCCGCCTTAGCGAGCTCGATCCTCCGTCCGATAAACCCCGTGGTATGTCACAGCTGGCCGTAAACAAAATTGACAACAACCTCCTCGCGTTTCAAAAAAAAAAAAGCTAAATATTTCTTAATTCGTACAGCCAGAGCCAGCTTTCGCGGCGCGTGAGCTGTGAGCTTTTCCAATTCGGAACAACCTGTTGGTTGCAATTTGACTAAGTCAGATGGACAGGGTCACAATATGTTTACAAATGGTGTCCCCCGTCCCCCGTAGGGGCGTGACGCAACATTTTTATGAGCGTTCGTGTGCGTTACCATGGCGGGGAAACAAATGTTGGCGTGAAAATAGATTTCCTTGGTCCACCTGCGTACACCAAGAGCTCCTATCAGTTACGCTCTAAACGGCCCGGTTAGTTGTAAAGAACGGCTTTGTTTACTACATAAAAATGCTACGGAACGCGTTGTTAATTCAGATGTTTGTAAGCGTTAAATTAATGGTAAATTATTGAGATACACGCACAACAGGTTCATTCATAGTTCGTTTAGCGTAACAGTATTAAGTTGGCGTGTTTTTGTTATTCTAAGATGGTCCAAAAACGAATGGAATTTTAAAGTGAGATTGTTCTACCATTCAAAATGGTGACTGACAAATTGATATCGTGGAACGTATATTACCGGTTTATGGAACATCAAGTGCAAAGTGCCTACGCAATCACATTATAATATATTCATCATAATCATGATTGCCTCCGTTGAACTAATAAAAAATAAATTAAATACTCGTTAACATCATTATAAGACTACCGTTTATCTTACACATTGACAATAAATAGTCTGTAGTACGATCGAAAAATGATAACATTTCCAATTAATGTAACTCAGTAATCTCGTTCGTTATAATCTCCCACTAAGTATACATATATATATATATATATATCTTAGCATCTCTCTTTTATTTAACGGCCATCCGGAAGATATATCGACAGCTGTTAATAATCTTTAATCTGTTTCCTCAATAGCGGTGCCAATGAAAACTTATAAAGTATAATTTTTATTAGCCAGCTGTAACATATCAAAACAGTGAAACGTAAACACTTATCGCGTGTTTTGGTGCTCATAATAATGTACTAGCTAGTGGGGAATGTTGGATAGAAGCAGTTCGTATTGAGTGTGAGCGGATCGAAAGTGGATTGAGTGTTAAGTGCGGAGATAGCGTGCGATGTGATGATGCGACGCGGAAAAGCGTTGCTGGAGGGCAGCAGGCAAGGGTCGGTCGACGGCAGTAATGTGGGTAGTGACAAGGAGCTGGTGCACAAGTGTCACAGTGACCCAGGCGGGGGCAGGGCCCTCGGGGCCAATCCTAGGGTGCACAGGCACAGGTCCGCCTCAGGGGCGCCGAGGAAATGCGTCCTCACATTGGATGGGTACTCTTATGTCATAGGTAAGTAAAGTGGATCTAAATAAAATAACATAAAGAACATAATATACATAATTATCAGGGCCGGATCTGAGGCAGGGCTGTGGCCCAGGGGCCCGCACAAGATAGGGGGAACACAGATAAAAGTATTAAATTTTGATGGGTCACTAGATTTAGGGGCCTCCAAAAGTCTTAACACAGATAAAAGTGATGGATATTGACCCATCAACATTAATTACTTTTACCTGTGTTGAGTGTTAAAATCTAGTAAGATTTAGGGGCCCCCAAAACTCTGAACACAGATTAATAATAATCAATGTCGATGATGATGGGTCACTGGATTTAGGGGCCTCCACACCTCTTAATCCAGCCCTGATAATAATAATAATAATACATGTAGAAAATTAAGAATAATCTTCAATATTGTGATGGAAGAACCAGAAATGCGACTGGAAAGTCTGTGGTACAAGAGAATGAAATGAAAATGAAGAATATTTTTTTATGGGTTTTAATTCATTGGATATAACAAATTAAATCACAATAAGGAATTATGAATAAGACGTCCTCTCCTCTTGCAATTGCGATACCCTACACAGGGTATACTACAGGGTCCATAATGCACTTTTTATCTATATATTATCACCTTTGTATCACCATTATGGTCTACAATAAATGAATTGAATTGAATTGAATGCTAGTTGTATGGTTTTAATTAAGAAAACAGATTCTTAGAATGGAATCTCTTATCTATTAGACAAGTCCGTCCGTCCGTCCGTGGTGCTGTTTCAGCGGCCAAACCGTAAGAGATAGATAAAGAGAATGTTTAAGTTATAAGTTGAGAATAATCTGATAAGACTACAAACCGGATGTGAGTAACGTAGCACTTCCGGTTTTCGAGAAATCACATGATTTCTATTTCAAACGAAACCACACAAAATCTCCGAAGTTCTCAATTAATTAAATACATTTTTTTTTTTTTGGTGAACATTTGGTTGACTGGTTTGCTAGTTTTTGTTTAACAGATTTACAGGGAAGCAAATTACGTTGAGCTGATGTGTATTAAATAACAAAAGTTTTCAGGAGATCTGTCAAGCTCGCAAGATTGAATTTTGGCGAGTCAATGTTTTTTTATACTCAAAATACTCACAGTAAATTCTCATCATCATCATCATCATCAGCCTATTAATGTCCCCACTGTTGGGGCACAGGCCTTCCCTATGGATGGAATAGGGAGATTGGGCCATGACCCACCACGCGGGCCCAGTGCGGATTGGTGGGTGCTAACGACTGCAGATGCAGCCGGGACCAACGGCTTAACGTGCCTTCCGAAGCACGGAGGAGCTCGAGATAGTAATTTATGGTCACCCATTCAATGACCGACCACTGCGAAAGTTGCTTAAGTTCAACGATCGCAGCCGAACGCGCTAACCACTTGCGCCATCGAGCTCCTCAGTAAATTATATAATTAACTAATCCGTAATTGATAAATATACTTAGAGGCTTACTTGCAGCAAAGTTCGCAAATGAAATTTAAAGCAAAATCATGTTTAAGCCTCGGTCTGACTCGAATTGCCTTTAAACAATTTACAAAGATGGATGGACGATGTTTAAAACAAGATTAAGCTTTAAATTTGAATTGAGAATGTCGGTGAGAGTAGAGTTAAATATTTAAACTCGAATAGAAATAGATTTTCACCATTCTGGGTTCGTTTCCAAATCTTTCGCCATCACAGCTATACGTCTTTGGAATGCTTTGCCACTGAATATTAGCAGTGCACGTAATAAGTTACATTTCAAAAAACTAGTGCGTGCTCACTATCTGTCAACCTAATTTTCCTCTTAATCTGTAGTCATCTATAATATCATCATATCTATTTTTATTTATTTTTTACTAATTTAGTGTATGTATGTTTATTTATGTATTTATTTATAAGTATATATATTTATGAATATATATGTGTATCAGTATATGTGTAGGTATAATATGTATTTTATATTTATTGTTGTTATAGAATAGTTAGGTATAGTAGATATTTTTTATGATCCACACTAAGTATCTCATATTCTATCGCCATTACATTGCATCTCCTACACCTTTACTGGTTGACTGGTAGAGAATGCCTATGGCATTAAGTCCGCCATTTACTGTTTTTATGGTAATAAAGAATAAATAAATAAATAAATGAGGTTTAAAACAGAATTTTGTTTTTAATTATATTCAAAAACTATTGGGATTTTGTTTTTAATTATATTCAAAGGTTATGGCTAAGAAACTGCCCTTAAAGTGTCGCACTAGCCAGTAACTTTACAATATTTTTTTATTAATTATTACGTGTTTATTATTCTCATACAACTTTCGTGAAATAATCAAATATTTAAAAGTATGAAAATTGACTTTATGTCTGTTTAAAAAGCAAAATGTTCCGTTTTACTAAATAAATGTACACAAAAAAAAATTTGTAAGTATATCGAAATAAACAATATTATTTCTAAACTCCTTCAAAGTGTGACATATTTGGCCCTAATTTTAATTGTAATAAATCACTGAAGGCCTAAAATAATACATTTTATTATTCTGATCAGGCTTGAGACAAGGCTGTGTGATAATTAATCCTTTAATTTTTGCAAATGGACAAAATAAAACTTCAAAGATTTCCTGTCAGGCCGACGATAACAAATTATTTGTATTTATTTTTGCTTTTAAAAAACTTTTTGTGAAGAGTTAATCAGAAAAATAGGAAGACAGATTCAAAGAAAATGCGAAATTGATGACTCTGTAAAGAATTGGCAACATCTTTTATCAACTATAGTAAGGTAATGACATAGTAGGAGTTCTCATAATTTTCAAGATTGTGACTTTATTGAAAGTTCCCGAGTCCTTTTTCATAGAAATTATGAATATTCAGCCATTTACCATTAAATATTACTAAGTACAGTATTTATACATTGTCAGGGCAGTCGCCCATACAAAACTTTACCATGTCCTCACGATATTTCGCTGTTCTTTTTAAAAACACTTGATACAGTAAACTTACATGGCTACAGGATTAAATTATCAAATCAGAGACAAAAAAAATGTTCGCTTCTAACCCGTCGAATGAACCGGATGGCTTAATTTAGCCGAGTGTTCGTCGCAAACGCTCCGGAACACCGGAAAAATATGGAAATGCTAATGAATTCTGCTGACATAATCAGATTCGCCGCGCTTACGTTTCGACTGCTTCTTTTTACTTCAAGTTTCCGTTTTGTTTTATAAATTTCTTAAAAAAATAAGAAACTCTTAGTGTCGCCGCACACGGGCCTCACGCCACAGCCACAAACGCCGCCACGAGAAGCTAGAAGCGGCTACTAAAGTGGCTGAAGCGCGCGACAGCGGCCGGCTAAGGTAAGGGAGAGAGGGGTGGGGAATCGCGCGAGTGACGTGTGACGGCGTTTTGTATCGGCGCATTAAGTGGCCGGTGCGGGCCACAAGAAGCGAGCAACGACGATTTGTAGCGTGTGGAGGCCACCGGCGTACCGTGTGTGGCGAGTCCATATAAAATGTATGAAAACTACAAGAAATATGACGGTGGCGGCGTTTTGTGGTTGTGGTCGGTGGCCCGTGTGCGGCGACACTTATAGAAGCGCTTTTCAATACCTCCAGGCTCAATGAGAAAATCGGACTTTTTAGGAGAAGCAAAAACCTTAAAATTTAGAAACAAAAAGGGTGACAGTTCTTTTGTTTTTAGAACTATTTAAATTTGGCGCATATTTAAATAATTATTAATAGAAAAAAAAACACGCGGACCAGGTAGCGGACGAGACTCGAACCCGCACCCTTCGCAATCCGGGCGAATGCACTGACCATTATTCGCCGTGTCGAAATTTTCCTAGCCTTAAACTGCAAGGCTGCGCCATCTCTTCGCATTGTAGGTAACCCACAATGTGTTGTTTTTTCTAGTAAACTTTTCTTTAGATTTAAACATCTAGCAGTTAAATGCTTAAAAAATAATTATTAATAATTATTTTTGGCGCATAAAATACTAAAGAGTTTATGGGAGAAGCGTGATAGAGGCAAGATTAGGCATACCTACATATCGCGTCAAAACAAAACCCAATCATGCAAAGTCGCGGGACGGATTGCTAAATCATAATATACCTAAGTAGGATTTTACGAAAACACAGATAATTGACAATGGTGTTAACACGCTCAGTCTGATTCGTGTGTTAATAATACTACGGATAAATTGATTATCATCATCATCATCAGCCTATTTATGTCCCCACTGCTGGGGTACAGGCCTTCCCTATGGATGGAATAGGGAGATTGGGCCATGACCCATCACGCGGGCCCAGTGCAGATTGGCGGGTGCTAACGACTGCAGATTCAGCCGGGACCTACGGCTTAACGTGCCTTCCGAAGCACGAAGGAACTCGAGATAGAAGATTTTTGGTCACCCATCCAATGACCGACCAATGCGAAAGTTGGTTAACTTCAACGATCGCAGCTGAACGCGCTGGCCACCTGCGCCATCAAGCTCCTACTAATCTAAAATAAAATCTTCATCCAGATAAAAGTTTTGCTTGTGTGTTTGATCGCACAGTTTTCTTGCTGTAACGGTGGAAATGTGTTTCTCTATATCAACATTGCACTAGTTCAAAGGTGTAAGTAGACCTGCCGTTGTGGATTATTTCATGTTAGCTGAGCTTTCCCTGTGTTTGTAAATTAAACAGAACTTTTGAGCAATAACGGCATTACTGCTTTTAAATTACAAAATACGAAAAATGTTGTATTAAAGAAAAGTTTACTAGAAAAAAATCCACGCGGGACTCCAACCCGCACCCTTCGCAATCCGGGCGAATGCACTGACCATTATGCTACCACGGCCCTATTAGCCGGATTGCGAAGGGTGCGGGTTCGAGTCCCGCGTGGATTTTTTTCTAGTAAACTTTTCTTTAGATTTAAACATCTAGCAGTTAAATGCTTAAAATAAAATAAAAACATAATGCTGTATTAACATTGAGTCAATGAATATATCTGACGCGGAGCTCGTCAGACCAGGCTCGTGGCCGAGCGGTATATACGCCGAGTTTCAAGGTGTCGCCTACTCGAGAGGTCCAGGGTTCGAATCCCGGTTGGGGCTATGTTTATGTGATGAATACGAGCATTTGTACTCCAATCATGGATGTTTAATATGTATTTCTATATAAATATACTTATCAGTATATGTATTCTACATATCGTTACCCTAGTATCCCATAACACAAGCCTACAGTGCTTACTTTGGGACTAGACTAATTGGTGTGTGTTGGAAAAATATTTATTTATTTATATTCATAGCCAAAGCTCTTATGTTATGTAAATCACAAATAACACGATCCAATCTAATATGACAGGAGCGGGTGACATCCGAGACCCAAGAGTTTTCAAAGGATTATACCTACCTCAAGTAAAATATGTATGCAGGTACCATGAAAGTGGTAATATTTTCTTATCTGTCTAAATAAAAAAATATATATAAACCTTTTTCTTCTTTTATGATTTCGTTTGGCAGCTGTGACTTCTTGGAACGCGGTTTCTTTTTATAATATAAAATTATTTGTGTCAGACGAAATTCTAACTCCTCGTCAGGATTTGAATTTTTTAAATTCGGATAATTCTTCAGTTTATCCTGAAAAGGAGAAGTCATAGCTCAACTTAAGCTTATTGAAATCAAATTAATATCTTAATATATATAAATCTCGTGTCACAATGTTTGTCCTCAATGGACTCCTAAACCACTGAACCGATTATAATAAAATTCGCACACCATGTGCAGTTCGATCCAACTTGAGAGATAGGATAGTTTAAATCTCAAATTATAGTCGCAATTTTAATTTATTGCAAATTATTACTTTTGGGCGGTACGAAGTTCGCCAAGTCAGCTAGTATAATATAAAACCCTTAACAAAATAGGATTATACAAGTTCTTTTTTTTATGAGTTAAAAAGTGTCAACGAAATTAATACCTGTTTCAAGAATTCCTACTTTCTTGTGTCATCATCATCATCAGCCTATTAATATCCCCACTGCTGGGGCACAGGCCTTCCCTATGGACGGAATAGGGAGATTAGACCATGACCCACCACGCGGGCCCAGTGCGGATTGGCGGTTGCTAACGACTGCAGATGCAGCCGGAACGGCTTAACGTGCCTTCCGAAGCACGGAGGAACCCGAGATAGTAAATTTTTGGTCACCCATCCAATGACCGACCACTGCGAAAGTTGCTTAACTTCAACGATCGCAGCCGAACGCGCTAACCACTTGCGCAATCGAGCTCCTCTTTCTACTGTACGTTGATGAATGAAAACCTATATCGAACCATTAGAACCCGGGATGATTGTATTTCATTGCAGGACGATCTATACCATTTCGCGTCATATTGAACTGAAAACAAATTGAAGTTAAACTTGGCGAATGCAAATCTATCACATTTACGAAAAACAGCATATCTTTGACTTTAGTTGCACCCTCTGTGACACCAATTTGGAGAAAGTTTCAACTGTAAAAGACCTGAGTATACATCTCGACCATAAACTCCATTTAAATATTCATATTACCAAATTACACTGTCAACAAAGCATTTCAACTCCTTGACTTTTTTTTTGAGTGTGTATGCTGTTGGTCGCAGATGACCTTTACAGCGTCACCGGGTTTGGGGACGGCGAGATCCTAAGGGGAACTCAAGCCGAGAATTGGCGAGTGCCTCTAGAGGTATTCCAGTCGGATGGCGTCTCTCCACGAGACTCCTCTCCGTCTGGAGCCTCCAGACCTCTCGAACCTGAGGGGGTCGGCTCCAGTGTTGCCAGGTCTCCAGATTTTACAGGAGATCTCCTGTTTTTCTGAAATTTCTCCTGTTCTACTGTTTTTCTACATGAATCTCCTGTTTTTTAGAATACGTTTTTCTTTTTTAAATTGCATGTTGAGTTGCATTTTCCGTCATTAATAATGTAGATAACCTTAATAATTATAAAATAAATGTAATTGTCTAAATGAAAATAGCTTTGAGGGGCCACAGAAACACATTCGTTATTGCTCTTTATCTTGATTTACCGATTCTAGGGGGGGGGGGGGGGGGGTACAAAAGGGCGTCTCTGAGACTCGAACCTCGGCTCTAGTTAGCCGTTGTCGTGGGAGGCTTCTCCTAGGCTGCGTTCTGCGAACGTGTATGAGCTTTAAATGCGCTATTGTTATTTATTGGTATTTAAAACACTTATAAGACCGCAACTCTTTGGAATTCTTTGCCCGCGCACGTGTTCCCTCCTTCCTACAATCTGGGGTCCTTTAAGAGAGGCGTGAAAATCATTTCTGCAGGCCGGCAAGGTGAGGGTTGTTGGTGTGGCATCTTTGCGTTTGGACTTTATCACAACTTAACATCAGGTGGGGTAGAGTCATTTGCCTACCTCAATATAAACGAAAGATAGGGATATTTATAGTGTAATACGATGAAATACTTTAGAAATACATAGATATATTGATGTGAATCTCCTCTGTACTCTTTATAATGCCATTCTTGTGGCATTTTTTTAAGTCTAATTAGTTTCATTTTTTTTTCTATTATACCATGTAACTGCTCGATGTTTAAACCTAAAGAAAAAATTTGTTGAAAAAATGTAAATTGTGGGTTACCTACAATGCGAAGAGATGGCGCTGCCTTGCAGCTTAAGGCTAGAAAGAATTCGATACGGCCACCAGGGCAGCGGTAGCATAATAATCAGTGCAATCGCCCAGATCGTGCAATTGTTGGTGTGGTAGTTTATAACTGCTGTACCAGCTATCTTTGCGTTTGGGCTTTATCACCACTTAACATCAGGTAGGGTAGAGTCATTTGCCTACCTGGCTAAATAAAAAATAATACTAATTAAAAAAATAAATTATGCCTCTCTGATAAAGCATCCATATTATCAAAAAATAAAATAATCAACTTGAAACTGTTAAAAAAATACACACGTACCTTTAATTTTGAGATGTTACCGTACTAATTGTTCGTATAGTGAGTTGTTGAGTAAGTTCTCCGTACCTTGCTTAAGTTTGAGACGTTCTCTGTTTGATATTATTTTATTTTTTAAACATTTAACTGCTAGATATGTGAATCTAAAGAAAATTTTACCCGAAAAAAATCCCACGCTACCAGGCAGCAGACGGGACTCGAAGCCGCGACCGCCGAAAGGCCGCGGTAGCATAATGGTCAGTGCATTCACCCGGATAGCGAAGGGTGCGGGTTCGAGTCCCGTACGCTGCCTGGTAGCGTGCAATTTTCACTAGTAAAATTTTCCTTAGTCTATTTTTATCACTAAAAAGTTTATTATTTGATGTAGAGATTTATCTGCATTTTTCTGTACTGTTATTGTACTGCACTGTTTAGAGGATGATATATTCGATGAGCTTAGATATCTCTGATACGCATTGAACTACTGGGAATTCGAATATAAATTTATTTTGACTGCAATGACCTCACAAAATAGATAAATTATATTCCAAATCCCAGTAGTTCAATGCTTATCATAGATAGCTACGCTGGTCGAATATTTTTTCTCCAAAGAGTGCAGAAAAATGCAAATGAACCTCTACATTAAATAATGAACTTTTTAGTGATAAAAATAGACTAAAGAAAATTTTACTAGAAAAAATTGCACGCTACCAGGCAGCATACGGGACTCGAACCCGCACCCTTCGCTATCCGGGTGAATGCACTGACCATTATGCTACCGCGGCCCTTCGGCGGTCGCGGCTTCGAGTCCCGTCTGCTGCCTGGTAGCGTGGTTTTTTTTTTCTGGTAAAATTTTCTTTAGATTTAAATATCTAGCAGTTAAATGCTTAAAAAATACTACAAAAAAATACTATCAAACAGAGAACGTCTCAAACTTAAACAAGGTACGGAGAACTTACTCAACAACTCACTTCACGAACAACTAGTACGGAAGTAATTCAAAATTAACCTTTCTGACTTCGATTTAGACTTGTTTACTATCTGGTGGCATGGTAGTGCCCCCGCCAAGAAGACAGGACGAGTCAAACGAAAAGTAGGTGAACTTCCTACATTTTTCAAAGCGCTTTTTTAAAGCCTCATAACTTGGGTTTGGATTAGCCACATGTTTTGACTAAAGTGTAGACCAACAGATACTATTAGTTTTTTTTGTTTGCATAATTTAACATAAGAAGGAGATAGAAAGCCTCTCTTGAGTTTGTTTCGCCGGTTCTTCTCAGAAAGGTCTCCCAATTTTGGAACCGGTGGTAGATTACGGTAGTTAGGATCAAATAAATAAATTCAAAATTACAAAAAAGATTTTTAAATAAAGTACTTTATTAACTAAATTAAGTAATAAATTCATACATAGACAATGAAACTTTAAAAATCGAACAATAAAATAACCGAATGCTCAATAAAAGCCTTCGAAGGTAGCTTGACAAAATTAAATAAAAATTGATTCCGACGAAGCAGCCTGTAAAGGCTGCGAAACGTCAATAAATAAATAAAATTCCGTGCATTAACCTTAGATTAAAACAAAAAGGGTAGATACGGCACTAGCCTCACAAAAGTGATCCGCATGAATTGTGGTCCACGACCCTAATCGCTTTAGTCACAACTTGACATGCAAACGACGTACATGTGAACGCCAAAAAGAAATATTGCTAATATTTTGTGTTTATAAGATAAAACAATGCCTAAGTGTGTTTTTAAAAAGTGCTCAAATTGCTCAAGATCTAAAAATAAACACCCACAGCATCACTTTTCATTCGTAAGTACTATAAAATATATTTTTTCATAAAAATTGCTGTTTATTTTGAATCTTATTCGGTAGTGACGTCGAGTACTGGTCGCGTGATTGGTCGGTAGTGCAGTGACGCGGATCTCACCGTCTCGTTCGCGCTGCCGTTGAAACTTAACGTGCTGTTTCGTTCGGGTCGGTAATGCAGTGACGCGGATTTCGCCGTCCCGTTCGCGCTGCCATGGGATCAGTTTTTGTTTGATGCAAGTATGAGCGTACAGTATCTACCCTTATTGTTTTAATCTAAGGCATTAACCCGTAAAAACTAGTTTTATTTAAAGTGTAGAGTTTGTAAAGTTAGGCCTCTTACTTAAGAGTTAAGGTGGTAGAGTTAAAAGCTTGGCTCTACACGAGATCAGATCTGAACTTTTTGACAGTGCGACTCATAGTCTCGTCCTGGCAACACTTTGCGTGAATATGTTGAAATGAAATCAAATGAAAAGTCTTTTATTCAGTCTAGGCTGTAACAAGCACTTGCGAAGGTCAAGAAGCTACGCCATCGGTTCGCAAAACTACGGTGGGAGACCTTGTACTGAGAAGAACCGGCAAGAAACTCAGCAAGCGCTGTTTTTTCCCCCCTGTATTGTTATATATAGAGTCGTCAAGTTGAAAAATGACTTCAGAGATACGTATGAAGTCACCTTCCATTACATCATTTAGAATATCAATATATAGTTACAATAAATTTTATAGTGAACATTATATTTAGTATAAATGAAGCGGCATTAGATAGGTACAATATTACTGTTACGAAAAATGACTAATACCCATTAAATAACAAATTATAAGAAACACTATGTCCATGCATTACGATCATTAAGATAATCATCAACTTTATAATAGCCCTTATTCATAAGAGTATTTTTGATCTGAGATTTGAATTTAGTCAGTGGAAGCTCAATCAGATCTAGGGGAACTTTATTAAACAATGCAAGCAATGCAATGCAATGTTTTTGGTGAGATGTCTTTTTTGTATTATAAAAAATTGTGTGTGTCGACCGACGCACGACTGGAGTTTACTCCTTAAGTTCGATAGTCTAACCAGACGCAAAAAGATTTTATTTAACTTAAAAAGGATTGATACTGAATGAAAGGGTAAATTAACAAATTAATGAAGATTATATACATATATAAATATATATTTATTCATTTCTTATACATTTACTATAACTAATCGACGAAATATTTTACATTAAACTTTTTACAATAGTCAATTTCAGATGTGCATAAATATATCATTAGGAATGTTGATAAATTATGTAATTATTATTATCAGACTATTATAATTTTTTTAAATATTAATTAAATCAACATTGTCTGCATTATTAATTACAGTGACAAGTGGTTTATGGTAACTAAAATAAGACACATGCACGTTCGTAGATACGTGGTTCACGAAAATATCGCATCAATGGTTGTACCATACCTCGTTGTCCCCATTGCTCTATCAGAAACAATATCTAAATTCAGTTCAGATTTAAAAAAAAATATTAATGTCAATCCGTCATCTTTGTTTGTCAAAGTTGCGCGACATAGGATGCGCACCAAAAACGTAACGAGGTCATTCATCGATAGATTTTACTCCTCACATTTTTCTCATACCGGGCCCCTGATATATGCA